CCAGCAAGGTCGGGCTCAGCAGCCATGAGCCTCACTTTCTCCCACAGCTGGAGGCCAGGATTACTCTGCACATCCTGAAGCCTAACTTGAGCTCCTCGAAGGACACCTGCGAGCCAAAGCTGAGGGTTTATTCAGCCATGACCTGCAGAGCTGCCAGCACCCCGAGGGGTCACACTCACCCGGTGCAATTCAAGATGTTTGCTATCCAGGATGTGGGTTTGGGGCTTGGTTTAGTTTGAACCTTCCTTGTTTGAACCCTGAGAGCATCTCAGCTCACCTTAGAGCAGATGTGCTCCACAGCTCCGTGGGCTTCATGGACCTCTGACTGTCATGGGAGCTGGAGCCCCAGACCCAGATCTGGGACACTGAATCCAGCTGAATGCAGGGAAACCCAGAAGCTGGATTCTTGGGGTTTTTCCTCAGCACTTTGACAAGCTGTGAGCCTTTAACGGTGTCCCACTTTGTGTACTTAAAAAGTCCGATTCACTTTTGGCCTCAGCCATGACCTACTTCATTCTCAGGGTTGAGATTAATGCATGAAACCTGATTAGATGGAGCTAAAAGCTGCTCTGGCCAGTGATGTACAAACACAGCGGTGTGGAGGCATCAGCAGAGGATTTTGTGGACTTAAACAGAGTCAGAAGACTGCTCCCTGTCCCAGTCCAAAGAGAAAGCAAATTTTCCCAGTGAACCCTTCTCAGGGTCCCCCCATTCATGTTGATTTACTACAAAGTTCTCAAGATGCAGAAGCAGAGGGGCTGGATGGGTGCTACTGGAGATAATGGAACGGAAGAAGTATCTCAGTGGTATCATCAGAGTACCCCAGCTCCGACCCAGTTTGTCTGTAGGCTCCCTTCACTTCATAGTTAGGGCCCATCTTTAACCTCTCGCGCAGCAGAGGAGTTTTACAGTAGGGAGCTCTGCGGCGGCCGCCACATCCTCTGGGAAGACAAACGCTGTGAAATCAGGTAACACAAAACCAGCTGGAGCCATCGCAGGGGCAGCTCGTGCTCGGCCCCTCCAGCAGGAAGCTTTCACACACGGCTCCAGGAGGAGATTGGTACAAAGCAAATATTGACCAGAATCAGACGCACGTGAGGCAGCGTCTGGGCATCATTTACTCTCACATCACCAGAGCTCCTGTATTTACCAGCCTGCAAAGGCGCTGCTGCGAAGTTCCCAGCTCACGCATTTTGCCTGCACAAGGGAATTGTGTGGTGGCAAATGGAGGTGCAGGGCTGAGCAAATGCAGATAAGGGACAGGATGGACACGTGGGAAGCACTTGTAGCAGAACTGGTGTGTACGTTATTGCTCGGAAAGTCAAACAGAGAGGAGCAAACAGCGGCGCTGGGCACACGCACGCCTGTCAATGATTAAATGAAGCTGGGAATCGGGGGCAGCCGGAGGAGAGCCGGGCTCAGGGGAGCTGCAGGAATGGTGGATGCTAAAGAGAATTCCTCACCCTGCGTTTCCCGGAGCAGTCTCGGGTGATCTCAAGGTCCTTTCCAACCCAAACGCTTCTGTGAGGCTATGGCTCATTCTTAGAATAATAATGTAATAACTGTGGGACAGGAACAGGAGCAGCCAGAGCTGGTGCTGCCAGGGAGGGACCCAGAGCAAAGAAATTACAGGGGTTTTATACCCTGATGTTCCATGCACCTGACCATCAGGTGCTGAGCATGAGTCTTGCACTTCTGTCTTGGTCCCGTGGTGAATTTTGGTCAGGGTTCTCCTCATTATAGAATCATGGAATGGTTTGGGGTGAAGGGAGCTTAAAGCTCCTCCAGTTCCCACCCCTGCCACAGGCAGGGACCCCTTCCATAGAGCAGCTTGCTCCAAGCCCCTGTGTCCAACCTGGCCTTGAGCACTGCCAGGGATGGGGCAGCCACAGCTTCTCTGGGCACCCTGTGCCAGCGCCTCAGCACTCTCACAGGGAAGAGCTTCTGCCTTACCTCCAACCTAATCTATCCTGTTTCAGTCTGAACACATTCCCTGTTGTCCTGTCACTGCAGAAGATGAAGAGGGGGTAACCCGTCATTAGGTCCTTATCATTGTCTGGATGCAAATTCCTTCTTATCTCTCAATTCCTTCCTATCTCTCTGGTTAGTTGCTCCCTGCAGAGGGAGGTATCTCCTTTATCTTCCAATCCTCACTGGTCTCAAAGCCTTCGCTTGCATAACTAAGCCCAGGTTGTAAATTAAGTTCAGCTTTATCTAGGTGGGAGCCGGCTGCTTTCAGCCCAAGGCTCCAGCAGCTTCTGCTCCTCATGCTCAGCTCTGCTCATTGCTGAACAGAACCACCCAGCCAAAATAAGCTCAGCCAGAGCATTCAGCTGACTCAGTCTGGTTCACAGCAGCCTCTGCACATCTCAAGGCAGCCCATTTCATACTGGAACCTGAGCCAAGCTGCTGCGTGGTACCTGCCAGGTTACCCTGTAGTGTGGGTGAGGTGGTTTTAGGATAGATAGAAACTAATTATGGAACCAGCCAGGTTGGAAAAGGCCTTTAAGCTCATCCAGTCCAACCGTGCCCCGCACTCCAAGGCCAGCGCTGCCCCATGGCACTGAGGACCTCATCTCCACGGTGTGTGAACGCTTGCAGGGCCGGTGACTGCAGCCCTGCCCTAGCAGCATGCCGTGTTCACTGCCATGAGCAGGGCTGTTTGCACAGAGCACTCACCTTCCTCAGCGCTGGCCGAGGGGTCCCACGTGTTCTTCTCTCTTTGAGGCTCTCCTGTTTTGCGTGTCCTACAGAGGTATTCCTTTAACAAGCTCTTCACCAGGTGCTCTGAGCCCACTTCTGCAAAACGTGCGCTGCCCGCACGGACCCGAACAAGCATCCTCAAGTCATTTCTTACTTGGTTCTTGTGTGTAACTGGTGAGCAACGTTTTACACGCACCAACCCAGGCACCGCCAGCCAGCCCTGTGACAGTGTGAGGTGTTTGTGGTTCCTTTAAGTGCCTGAGGTTATTGCCATTCTGTGTAAAAGCCACATGATGACTCCAAAGCCCCTTTACAGATCAGTGAACAATGTCCTCCCATACTCTCAACGTGCCCTGCAGACAAATACCTATGCAAGCACAGCTAAAGACCACCCTGTGAAGAGGCTATAATGAAGGTCCCCAGCTTCTGACCTCTTGCTGGCAGATCAGAGCTGCCCCACGCCTCCAGCAGGCACTACCTGGACATGCAGAGGTTCCCATCTTCAGTCATGCCCTTCATGAACCCTTGGAAGAACACAGGAAAGACTTTTGGCAGCTTCCCAGCCACGAGGCCGGGGTCTGCGTGTTGAACACTCACATTTGCCGTGCAGCCACCTTCACCCACCTTTGGTTTTGCACCTTTCCCCTGCAGACACCGGTCCCTTCCCAGCATGTGGCTAACACGATGCTTTGCCACGTGCACAGCAGCACCCGTGTGTTCTTGCTGGCTATAGTGCTTGGCACCTCCCAGGGAGCACACTGAAGAGACTCGGGAAGTGACAGAGCATGAAAGCAAGGAAAAACTCTGGTACTTTCCCCATGATTCTCATGCCAAAAATAAAAGCACCAAAGCCCCTGTGTCCCGTCCTCAGAACTGATCTTTGCCGTTTGGGTTCTCCACAGCAGCCCTGAGCACAGCAGGAGAACACGGACCAAAGCAGCTTTTGGAGCTGTCTGGGGTGCGTGGGGAGCAAAGGGAAAGCAGAACAGAGACACCATTTGTTCTCCCCACCGAAAGTCCCCAGCACATCCCAGGAGCATCCAGCACCTCCCAGTTTGCTGGAGCCTGCTGGCAGATGGCCAGAACATCCCAAGCTCCAGTTCTTGAGCTCTTTGTGTGGCTGGACACCGACCCTGCCAAGCGCCTGCACTGAAATCAGTGGTTTCCTCTGCCTGCACCCCCCCAGCACAAGCACTGCTCGCAGCATCCCTGCAGCACGCTCCCCCCCCTGAGATGGGGCCGCAAGCTCGTGGTTTCTCTTTCTCCTCCTTTTCACCCTGCTTCTCCACCACTCAGCTACTGGGATGAGGCAAATGCTGGGCTGAGATAGCCCAAAGGAGAAGGTCAGCCTCCTGAAGGTGCTGATTTGGGGTCAGAAAGGAGCAAATGCTTTGGCATCACCCTGCAGACCCAAGCAGGTCACAGGGATTTGGCTTTACACAGTGACAAAGGTGTTAATCAGGAGGTATGTTGCTTTGGGATGGGCTGGAGGCTCCTCTAATGACAGCCTGATGCTGTCACTCACACACCGTGTGTGTCCCGAAGGAAAAGTGGCAATGTACAAAGAGCACCCTGGATGTCATTGCATCCCACTGCCCCCTGTACCTCCATTCCAGACCAGCCCATCCTCATCTGGAACATAACCTGGAGGTGGGGAGAGATTCCTGTCATGTTTTCAGAAGGCTTTTAGCAGAGGATTTGATATCATGAGACAGCAAAACCCAAACCCTCCCCTTGCAGGCCCTGCAGTGAGACCTGGCTCGTTTCTCTGGGTCTGTGTCCTCAGGTTGCAGTCCCTGGGCCATGAGCTTCTGTCTCCATAGCTGCAAAGATGTGAATCACATTGTTTGTATAATGAAACCTCATTCCGTAACTCTGGGAACTGACGCTTCCATATAATGGGCCAACATGGGGATATTGTAATTAAAAGCCCAGGTCTGGCAACAGCGTTTGTGTTCCTTCAGAGACCAGAGCTGCTGCTCCAGCAGTGGATTCCTTGCCAGAGCCTGCTCTCAGCAGCCTGCTCTCTCCCCACCTGCAGGGAGAACAGCTTCCCACAGGGCCACAACAGCCCTGCAGGCTCTCTGAGAGGTGGGGCATCCCAAAGAGGAGCAGTGGGGATTGCCACAGTCCATCCCTCCGTGCAGAGGAAAGGTGCAGGGGAGGTGACAGGCTTCTCCTGGGAAGTGAAGGAGAACGAGTGATTTTCTCCAGGAGATGATACTGCCCATGAGCAGCCAGGCTGGGGAGGAAAGGGAGAAATCGGCTTTGGGGCATCGCTTTGGCCCCCTCTGGCATTAAATCCACTGCTGGGTCCCCCTCTGGCAGAGCAGCACAAGGATCCTCCCATGGATTCGCTTGGTTTTCCAGCTGCACACGAGTGGGGTCAGGGCAGGAGGCACCAGGAGGTAAACATCAGCCAGGAGGGTGTGAGGGGGGGGAGGCTCTCCCCAAACCTGTGGATGATGGACAAGCTGAGGAGCGGGATGCGGAAGACCAGGACAGCGCAGAGGTGGGAGATGCACGTGCTGAAAGCTTTGGCTCGTGCTCCCTGGGAGACGATGCTCAGGCGGGCCCTGAGGATCATCACGTAAGGCAGGAGGATGGTCAGGGAGTCCCGGCCCCTGGTCAGTGTCACCGCAGTCAGCCCGTACGAGCTGGTGACCAGGACATCCCCACAGAGCAGCCTCAGCATGTCCTGGTGCAGGCAGGAGTGAGACAGGACACGGGAAAGGAGCTTCTGAATCAGGACAGCAACAGGGGGCACCACGCAGGTGCCCTGCATGAAGATCACCCCCCTGCCTTCACTATGAGGGAGCTTGTCAGGGCAGAGGTGTAGGACAGAGGGGAGCAAATAGCACAGAGCGGTCCAAAGCCGTGGCCACCAGGACCCCCAACTCGACGGCAGAGAAGCAGTGGATGAAGTGCGTCTGCGCAGCGCATGCCTCGAAACACAGGGAGGTGGACTCAAACCAGAAAATGGCCAGCGTGGTGGCAGGGACAAGCCCAGCTCTGCCATGGACAGCACGGAGAGCAGGTAGCACATGGGCGTACGGAGCCTGTGGTCTGTCCGTGTCACCCAGAGCAAGGTGCAGCTCCCCAGGAGCATGAGGAGGTAGGGGCAGCAGAGGCAATGCCACCCAGTAGCTGCTCACCGGCAGACTGGGAATGCTGGTGAGGATGCAGGGCAGGGGACTGGACTCAGTCCCATTGGAAGATGACGTCTCAAGAACGGATGGTCCGAGGGGCTGGAAATAACAATGTTGTGGAATAAAAGCCCTGCTATGAGACACCCCAGATACCCCATCTGCAGTGGTGCTGGGAGGACAGGCTCCAACAGCCAAAAACCCTCTGTGCAGCTGCCCTCATGAATAACCATCACATCAGCCTGAAGACACAGCAGACCAGTCCCAAGATCACTGTCTGGGCTGTGCACAGCAGCAGATAAAGAGGCGTTTAACATGTCTCCCCTCGTTGTACTCAATCCCTAGCCTTTAAACTGCAGGATCATGCACTGGTTTGGGATGAAGGGAGCCCTTCCATAGAGCAGCTTGCTCCAAGCCCGTGTCCAACCTGGCCTTGAGCACTGCCAGGGATGGGGCAGCCACAGCTTCTCTGGGCACCCTGTGCCAGCGCCTCAGCACCCTCCCAGGGAAGAGCTTCTGCCTAAGAGCTCAGCTCAGTCTCCCCTCGGGCAGGTTAAAGCCATTCCCTTGGCCTGTCCCTACAGGCCCTTGTCCCAAGCCCCTCTCCAGGTTTCTACAATGCCTTTGCCCCCACCGCCAGGAGCAAGGGGGGATCTCCACCTCCTTGGCTTTCTTTACACCCTCACTTACCTCTTTTGCTGTCTCTGTTCTCCCTCTCCCACGCTGCTTGGTTCAGTTTCAGAACACTTTTTCCCCTCATCCCAGGGCACTCAGCTCTATATTGTCCCCGTGTGACTCTTTCCTCTGAAGTGGTTTCTGAAGACCTGCACCATGGGCTGCTCAAGAGCACAGCATCAACGTGAGCCCAGCACCAGTCTGCAGGCAGAGCTGCTCTCCCACTGCTGCCTTTCAGGTCTGACCCTTTGGCCATGTGAAAACACTTACTTACCTCTGAGAGCAGATGAGGTCCCAGTGCGTCCGGGACAAAACTTACCCATTCTGTGCTCCTCCAGTGTGGGAATTCCAGCTGAATTCCAGCTGAATAGAGACATGCTCTGTGTGGCAAGAGCTGAGGATGTGCGGCTATGACCAGCTGTGGAGCTGGTGCCTTTAAGATGCCCTGAATTCAACTGCATTGGCAGAGAAGCCTGTTTGCAATAATGATCTGGAAATCTCCCCTGCCTTCCCAGCCTCCTGTGGCTGGGCATCACATCTGGTGCTCGTGCTCAGGGGCAGTGAAGCTGCCCAGGAAAGCTGGTGGTTTCCTCTTGGTTTTCCTAGCAGCCTCAGGCAGACAAAGCACCACTTCAGCTTCTTGGTCTCGTTTGAACCTCTGGATTTCTTTCTTTCCATTTCACCTTTCTGCCAGCTGGAAAGCACAAACCCATCTTCCTCCCACCGGGGTGGTTTGGTTAATTGACCTGCAGGCTTAGCTGATAAGGCGCTCTGAAGCATTATATTTTGCCATGCTTACACTAAAAGGGAAGGAATCAATGCAGAGCCACACAGAATGAGGCTGCTTCTCATCCTGCAGGGAGATGTTATCTCTGTCGTCTGATCGCATTCGGTCCAGCACAAACACTGATCTTTCTCTGCCTTCATCTCCCCCTCCATCCCCCCTTCCCTCTCATGTCCAGATGCTTCTGCCTTGCAGGACCAGCATGGGCAAGGCTGATCCTTCATTCCCAGGGCTGATCTCCAGGTCTCATCCCCCTTCTCCTCCTTCTGCATCCAGGAGCTCCCTGACCCCAGGCTGTCATCACAGTGGAAGGGGTCCCTGCCCGTGGCAGGGGGTTGGAACTGGATGAGCTTCAAGATCCCTTCAACCCAAACCAGTCTATGGGCCTGTGAAATGAATTTACACATCCTGCTTGTGCAACACTTGAGAGAATGAAGGAAATGTGTAATTATTGACCAAGGTCAGCTTTTTAGGGTGTTTTTTTGCAGGAAGCCCGTATGTAAGACCAAAAGTAAGATTTACTAAAGCAATTTGCCCTCAGCACTTTTCCCGTATGCTGCTTTGTTGTTTCTGCCAGAGAATCCCCCAAATCCTTGTTCTGATGCCCTCAAACACACTGCCCTTGCAGAGGAAGAGCATCCCTGTCCTGCCATCCTCCTGCAGCCCACCCTGCACTTACCTGGTGACAGCAGAGGATGGGGCTGGGGAGCAGGAGCGGCCCGGGGTGCAGAGTGCTGCAGGCAGGCACTGCAGAGGGCTGGGGAGCTGCCTTTAACCCAGAGCAAACCCCACGGGGCTCACCCGGAGCACAGCGAGTTCTGTGCTCTTCAGGGATGAGACACCATGGGGCTGGCTACAGGCACGCTTCCCTGCCTTTGGAAACAGAGCAGTGTGACAGAGGGGGCGAGGCAGGTTTGGGTGAGGAAAACAGAAAGAAATTGGGTGAAAAATGTGTATGCAGAAAATGCCCTTGCTCTGTGAAACCTCTGCAGGGCGGGTCCTGGGGCCTTCCCCCTCCTGGGTGCCCCTGTGCAGCTCATGGAGCAGATGATCCTTGAGGTCCTTCCAACCTAGGACCGTAGGATTCTGTGATCCTGGTGCCTGCTGTGCTCAACCTCCTTCTTCAGGGTGAGAACCAAACAGGTACAGAGCAGGATCCTGATTTCAGTGACAATCCCTGGTGACAGAACTGCGCCCAGCTCCTGACTTCCCTTGCCTTGGATTGGTGGCTTTGGAGACAGGGGATGTCCTGCTCTGACTCTGCAGCGTGCTGCCCTAGCCCTTGGCAGGCTCTCAGCCACTATCACAACACAAATAGCAATGTTTTATGACTGCAAATTGTCGAGCAAACACACTTCATGCAATAAGCACTAGTGCTGTCATAAAAGGCAACACGAGCTCATCCCATTGATGGCTTTATGGATGCGGTCAGAGCCCTTCAGGAGTTAACGCTGAGCTGGGACTTGCTCCTTTCCCTGCAGTGCATCCCAGTGCACCCCAGGCAGGATGAGACAGACAGACACTATAAACCGCTTCCATCTACTATTCACTTTTTCACTGTGCCTTCTTTTTCTGGTATTTATTCACTGCCTATAATTTAGGAAATTATCTCTGGGAGGAACAGACAAACGCCACTTTGTGGAAGCAGAAATTTCCAGCACAAATCTGATTAAGAGCTTCATTTCCTGAGTTAGGAACAAATTAACTCATTATCCACACACCACAAAGCAAACAGTATCTGTAATAGCAGCTCAAGATGGGGGGGGGGGGGGGCTGTACTGGATGTGGATGGGAAGGGCTTGGCTGTAGAGGGGCTGCAGGGGTGGCCAGGAGGGAGGTGAAGGGCTGCCATGTGCCAGACACAGGACACAGATGGTTCCAGCTACATCAGTAACAGACCCATCTCAGGGTTGTAGAGTGGTTAGAACTGGAAGGGACCTTAAAGACCATCCAGGTCCAGCCTCCTGCACCAGAGCTGAGCCAGACAGAGGTGCTTGTGGAAACATGTTTAGGAAAGGGCAGGAAATGTCAGACCAAGAGAGGAGTGAACAGAGAGAAACGGCACAGGGAACATGGAGGGCAGAGCAATAGGAGGTGCTCCATGGTGGTGGAAGCACTCCCACTAGGGGCTGTGGAGGACCCACACTGGAGCAGGCACATCCCCAAAGGGACTGCAGCCTGTGGATCAGCCCATGGACCCCTGGAAATGAGCAAGAAGGAAGGAGCAGCAGAGAGGAACTGCTGTGTACTGCCCCTGACCTGCAACAGCCATCACCTTCCCCAGGGCATTGAGTGATAACAAGGAGAGGAAAGGAGTCTGGAGTGAAGAAGTGACTGATGCGACTCTGCTGCTCCCAAGGAGTCAAGTTCTAAGTCCAACACTCATTAACTCCAATGATAACTCAGATAACAGCTGTTTCTGAGTGGGAATGGACAGGTCATACACAATGCCGGACAAAATTAGGGCTGTGCTTTGCCAGAGCAGCTCAGTTTTAATGAATCTATATTGAAATTTACTGTGCAGTTTATCACTTCATAGAATCATAGAACCATAGAATGGTTTGGGTTGGAAAGGACTTTAACATCATCCAGTTCCAGCCCCCTGCCGTGGGCAGGGGCACCTCACACTAAACCGTGGCACCCAAGGCTCTGTCCAACCTGGCCTTGAGCACTGCCAGGGATGGGGCAGCCACAGCTTCTCTGGGCACCCTGTGCCAGTGCCTCAGCACCCTCCCAGGGAAGAGCTTCTGCCTTATCTCCAACCTGAACTTCCCCTGTTTCAGTTTGAACCCATCACCCCTTGTCCTATCACTGCGGTCCCTGATGAAGAGTCCCTCCCCAGCATCCTTGCAGCCCCCTTCAGACACTGGAAGCTGCTCTCAGGTCTCCACGCAGCTTCTCTTCTCCAGGCTCAACAGCCCCAACTTTCTCAGCCTGGCTCCATACGGGAGCTGCTCCAGCCCCTGCTCATCCGCGTGGCCTCCTCTGGGCTTATTCCAACAGCTTCATGTCCTTTTGATGTTGAGGACACCAGCACTGCACCCAGTGCTGCAAGTGGGGTCTCATGAGAGCAGAGCAGAGGGGCAGGATCACCTCCTTCGCCCTGCTGGTCACGCTCCTTTTGAGGCAGCCCAGGATACTCAGCATTGCAAAGTTCTCCCACAGTCCCCCATCTCTACTACTCTGGGTGTAGTGCTTTCATAAAGAGCTTCATCCCAACGCACTTCACATCCTTCCCAGCACGCCCAACGCCTCAGCTCCCTGCTCAGCTGAAGTGGCAGCCTCCCACAAGTGTGAAAAATCACTATTTATTCCTTCTCCTTGGCCACGGTGTCTGGGCTGGAGGAAGGGAAGAGCTGCTGAGAACAGCTTGGGGGGAGCAAGCAGGGCCCCAGCGTGGGCAGTGATCCACCCATAGAACATGAGTTGCTGGACGGGGGGATTTTTATCTGGGGGGCTCTGATTGCAAAAGCCAGGTCAGAGGTGCAAGAGCCACAGAGGTACCGGGAAAACAGCCCAGACTTTGTTCTTGTGGCACATAAATTCGGTGGACCTGCAAACAGAGATCTGCTTTTGTAAGAGCCCACATTCATAAACATGCCAGCGGTGCCGCAGAGCCCACTTTGTATTCTGAGACCTGGAGGAAATAACAAGGTAGATGGATTAATTCAGCAGAAATGTTGTGGGTTTCATCCTTTCTTCGCGCTGCATCTGCAGCAGTGACCTATGAATCAGACCTCGCCAGCAATACATCACTCAGGCAACAGAAACCACGTCCAAGTCGTACGAGGACAACCACAATGGAAAAGATGGGGAGAAAATCAGTGCTCGCAGGTGTTTGTGCTCCTCTCCATGGACTCAGGAGCTGATCCCCTGACCCCACAGTGTGCACAGGGCTGGAGGAAGGGGTCAGTGTGGAGGGGGGAAGGCCCATGCAGCAGGTTTGTGCTCCAGGATGGTTTGTGCCTGTGCCTGAGGAGTAGGCATCACCCCCAGCGAGGGCCAGCACCCCGAGCCCCACTCTTTCCCAGTTGCCTACCAATGCAAGGTGGTTTTGTTCCTCTTCCCCCCACCCCTATCAGTTAAATGGTCCAGCAGCATCAATAGCTCTTGGAGAGGACCTGAGCGCTCCTCAGCTCATTCCCTCAGCACACAAAAGGAGAAGAAACGCAGCCTGTGCATCTCAAGCAAGAATACTGATTACCTCCTGCTCACCATCAGCTCAGTGACTCAAAGCTGGCTGCTCTGAAACGTTTCCACTGCTACATAGGCTGACCTCTGGACTCAGCATCCTCGTCAGC